TGCTGCTGATTATTTCATGCTGCTGATTATCTCATGCTGCTGATTATCTCATGCTGCTGATTATTTCATGCTGCTGTATTCATTCTGTCGTACTCATCCCCTCACAAGGACTCGTGTTCGTGCTGCTGTGGTTCGGTGTACGTTGCATCATTGGTGCAGATCCAGGTGATCGTGTGTAACTTGGATCTTGTAGCGTTTCTTAGCCGATCCTTTAGTTTAGATCTCAGATCCTTATTTAGGGTTGAAGTGGACCTTGAGTGCATGAGTTCATTCCACCTCATGTGATGCAAATGACAATACAGAACCTTAACCTAAAGCCAGTTAAAAACAGCTGAACGTTAGCTGAAAGCTAAAGGAAGGAGCAGAAACATCTTTCAGCTGAAGCAGGCTGTGAACAGTTTGTGAAGGTTCAAGAGTCGACGTGTTTTGAACCAGCTGTTGATGATCGACTTGATCAGTCCCAGAGTTTCAGCTGATTTTCGTTCAGTTGCTCGGCTGTTTGATTGAATCAGCTTAAAGAGACGGCGAGCTCTGAGCGCTGCTGCTGGACGGAGTGACGCAGACTTCTTTCTTCTGCTCTGCTTGAAGATGAAAACCTTCCTCTAACAATCATTTGCTCGGCTGCAGACACACTTCAGGCGGCGAACGCCCCCAGTCGGTCCAGTTTAATGTTTGACCCGTCGAGACGCAGCTTTGAGTTTCTGACCCGTTTTACTTTTGTAGTTTGAGTTCTGATTCAGAAACTGCAGCTCCTCTGGACACGTTCACAAATACACAATAAAAAAATTAAAAACTTGATGAAAACGTTTCGTCTCTCATCCTGAGGACTTCCTCAGTCTGAGGTGCTGTGTTCAGCTCAGTCTCTTAAACAGCACCGTCTCAGTGGATCATCATCGATGTAAGACTGATCACCCTCCTGACACTGAACAACATACACAATACTACTCTGTTTGGGATGAACCGGTCTTTAATGTATTTTGGGGTTTAAAAGCCACTGGGACGTTGTTTAGAAAATAAATCCGTTTCTCTGGAGCTCGTGCGACGAACAGCTGGTTCTGGATGTCAGCAACAATCTGGTGGATCCACCATGAGAAGGTGACGTTTATAAGACTGAGTTTGTTGCAGCTCCTCAGACTGAAGAAGTTCTTTGGATGAAAGGTTTCAACAAGTTTTATTTTTTTATATAAATGTTCTGTCCAGAGGACCTGACTGAACCTTTACGTTTATCTTCCTGGATTATTGAGCAGCATCAGGACCTTTAACTGTTTGTTCTTGATGGTTGAGCTTTCATCAGAGGAAAGAAGGCAGGTTTTGTGTTCTTTTGTTTTGTTCATGGAGCAAACTACTGATTAGACTAAATATGTAACGGAATAAAAAGCAAATTATTCAGTTGAGTCAATAATTGAGCAAAATGTTGAGAAAGACAAGTCTGGAGGAAAAATAAATAAAAGTAGTTTACTTAAAATTGAACAGAACTATTAATGTAATGTTTACATCGTATCTTAAAATGTGCAAATTGTAAATATTTTTAACAGTTGAGCGCGTTTTATTTTGACACGAGAATCCAGCCGTTTCCGGTCGCAGCCGTGCTAACTGCTGCTAGCTTCACGCCGCCTGTGTGACCTTGTCCAGGCGTATTTACTCAGACATGGAGCCCAGTTCAGTCAAGAACCGAACCCGGTCGGTGTTGGGTCGGTCCAAAGGGCCCACGTGTTCGGTTCGGGTCGGGTTCTGCGGCTGTTGGGCGACTTTAGCCTTGTTTCGAGGACTTGTCCCCGCAGCATCGACGCCTGTTGCATCCAGCTCCTTCCCCCTCCTCCGGCCCAGGTTCGGTTCGGCTCACACCCCCTCCGTCTCCAGCTCCACTGAAACCCAGACTCATGACCCGTGGCCACTTTTTAACCGAACCCAGCCTCAGACCAAAAACTGGACAAACTTTTCCTGGTTAAAGTCTCGGTTCGGTTCGGAGCGTTTCCGTGTTGGTCCCGGAGGAGGAGGAGGAGGAGGAGGAGGAGGAGGAGGATGCTGTCCGGTCCAATCAGTCCGAGAGCTCCTTATCGGAGCTCTGGGTCAATCATTGACGCTCCGGTTCGGCTAGGCTGCTGGACCGGACCGAACCGAACCGGCTGCACAACAACAACAAACAACAACAACAAACAACAACAACAAACAACAACAACAAACAACAACAACAACAAACAATAATAATAATAAGACATTTCTGTGAGAGCTGCTGAAACTGAGCTGTCCAAGCTAAAGGAAGGTTAAAGCAAAAAACAGCCAAAAGTCACAAGTAGAAAACTAGTAGCTAAAAGCACAATAATGCAATAGCTAAAAGGTAAACTTAGCTTAATTAGCATTAATCTAAAAAAACTCAGCCGAAGACAGTTTAAATTAAAAAGGTTTAGATAAGGCTAGCTAAAAGTAGTAAAAGTTTAGCTGATACTTCATAGCCAAATCAGCTAAAAGCTAAAGAGGTAAGATTAAGCTGAAAGCTAAGAAATGGGTAAACAGTAGCAGAAACAGACTGTGGGAGCTGAAAGCAGCTAAAGTTTGGCTGGAATGTGGACGGAACAAACCGAACCGTAAAAATTATTTTAATAACAAATAGATCAAAGTCCTCACGTCTTTTATTTTACAGACTTCTGTTGATTTAAAGTAAATTAAAATAAAGTTTGTTAAATAAATTAATAAAGTTTGATTTAAAGTAAATT